GTCTGGAAGCCGTTCCTTAGGGGAGGGGTCCTGTCAGGGTCTGGCGTCTGGTGTTCTCCCTCTCTCCTCCAGAGGGCGCCAGCTCCCGGATTCCCATTCCCCAAACCCCATACACCTGTTCACTCATTACACTAATTCCCCAAACTCCACACACCGGTGCAGTCACTCACTCATCACACTCACCCTCAGCTGTGCCCCGTCTTCACTGACTATATAATTTCCTCTCACTCACCACTCGGCCTGGCTGTATTGTGTGTATGTAATGGTGTTCGTCGTCCCTAGACCTGTTTTTGTTTTGCCTTGTTGGCCTTTCTGTTTGGAATAAAAAGGTTTTCACCTGCATTTGGACCCAGACCCGGTTTTTCCACGGTGCCCCTTACTCGCCCGTGACAGCGCTGGGGGGAGTCCGGCCCGTACTTGTGTCCCGTGCTGTCAGGCTCACCGAGGTACATGGACACGAAGTCCAGGTCCTGCTCCCCGAACCAGGACTTCATCACTTTGTCTACGTTCTCTTGCCAGGCCGTTTCATTGCTGTAATTGTAGTTTTCAGGCTTCACTTCTCTCACGACGGCACTTTCACCCTGATAAGTGGACGCCGTTCCAGGAAAGTGAAGGGAACCAGCCTTCAGACCCTTTTTTGGGAAAAACATTAGTATTTATTTACCAAACACTTGCTTATTCAGTGCAACTCAGGGTTAGTATAGTTAACAATAACTGAAACCATAAAACTTTTTTTTTTAAATAGAGTAAAAGTTAATTGAAACAAAATATTTTTTTTAAAACTTATTTTAATTCAGCTAGTTCCCAAGATAACATTTCTCATTCTAGATTAACTGAATGTACTCACATAATTAAAACTGAAATAAAAAATAAAAAAATAATAAAAAAAATATATAGACAGAAAAAAATATTTATATAAGTGTAAAAAAATGTACCTGAAATAAAAAAAAAAAATATATATATATAAATGAATACCACTTTAAAGTGAAAACAACATATTTAAATAAAATCTAATAAAAAATAAATAAATAAAACAGTCTATCGTTGATACTAAAATAACACCAACAATTGTAATTGTGTTATTCTATACTCAGTCTCTTGTTGTTTTTAAACCATTGAACACAAAATAGCCTAGCCATATATTTTTTTTAATAACATGCATTCATATTTTGCATATTAGCAATTTGTCTGTTAATGAGCCTTGTTTGGAGCTTAACATATCTTGGTCATAATATGCATCTATTGTGCATATATGCCTAGACAGGAGAAGCTTTGAGATGCTTTAAAACACTTGTTTTTAAGAGGAAAGAAAGTAATATGCTTGGTACAGCATGAGAAATGATCACAGAAATTACCTTTAAATTGCTTCGCTCAAAGGCACAGTGGTGGTAGTTCATGCATCACCTGCTTTAAAGGATTTACTGTGTGCAAATCATCAAATGAGACTGCATTTCTGAGCTGGAAATAAGTAATTTGACTCATTTGAGATTAATTCAGCTGAATCTCTTGTGTGATTCTGGTTGTATATGCAGAGGTTACTGGAGAAAATTAAATAAGGCAATCAAAATGATTCAAAGTGAAGTGTTTCTGGTTATCTGCAGACTGTTTGCTTGTGGGAAATGTGTCAAATTGAAATTGTCCTCTATAACCAACCACGAAAATGTACTCAATATATTGTCGTCTATATTCAATCAGTTTATTTTACTACATCGCCCCCTTGGAATTATAAGGTTCTTTCTGCATTCTGAGCAGTTTTGAGATATTGAGCTTCACAGTTTTTACATTTCATAAACATCTGTAGATAGAACCCATTTTGTTTTCTAAAAAAAAGGCCCAAAATGTACTGTCGCGGGGTGAATGAGAACACAGACTCGGTACTGATCGAAAGAGCCCCGGAGGGTGATTTATTGCCCACACACTGATCACACGTGCTCTGAGGAATGGTGCTCGGTGCCCGTCTCAGGCGACAAGCATTAATGTCGCCTGGAGCTCTGGGGTGCCTTCCCGCTGGTGTCTCTTCTCCTGGCTTTTAAGGCCAGCGGGAACGAGCTCCAGGTGCGCCACTCATCGCGCACAGGTGTTGTGCATCGGTGATCAGTGTGGCAGCGGCGTTTCCAGGGCGATGCTAATCTGGACTCGGGATACTCGCCACATTCCTCCCCCCCTAGGCGTCGCCCTGGTCCTGTGGGGAAACACACAACTCGTTGTGGGGGTATTACAGGGGGGGGATTTCTGGTTACCTGCCAGACCTGCCCAACCGGACCAGCCCCGGGAGAGACCGTCCGCATTCCCGTGATCGGCCCCGGCCCGATGTTGTACTTGGAAGCAGAAGTTTGTGTCCTTCGCCCGGGACATCCATTGCAGGGGCGCATGGTTGGTGACGAGGGTAAACCGGCAGCCCCAAAGGTAATACTTTAACTCCAGGACTGCCCACTTTATGGCCAGGGCCTCTTTCTCCAGGGTGGCGTACCTGGTCTCCACGGGGGAGAGTTTCCGGCTGATGTAGACTATGGGGTGTTCCTCTCAATCCTCTCGGAGCTGGGAGAGGACTGCCCCTAAACCGGTGCCGGAGGCGTTCGTATATAGGGTGAAGGGGCAGCCGAAGTCTGGGGCATGCAGGACCGGGGAGGACGTCAGGGCCGTCTTGAGGGCCTAGAAGGCGGCTTCGGTCTCGGGAGTCCAGTCTATCCTCTCCGGCTGCCCCTTC